CTATGTAATGAGAAAACTCATCTTTTGAGTTTAACTGGATGACTTTAAAGTTCTTTGACATGTTATGTACTGAAGAAAGGAAGTGGTTCCTAGTTCTCCTAAGACTGAAGCATATCCTAAAATTTTTTACAAAATACCCGTTTGCATTCTTGCATTCAAGTATTGTATTTAATAACTCATCAGCTGCACCAATTGCCTTATGTGCACTATAAACATTGTCTGAAATGTAGGTGTACTGTACCAGATGGGGCTGCTTACACATGCACAAAGGCAACATCCTTCTCAAACATGATATTTGTTGCCATCAAATACCAAGATCAGTTTTCTCAGCAGCCAAGTTAGCAAGTGACATGCCTTTGAACAAATCCAAAATCACACAATGAAAGAGTGATGCTTTGTGTACAAGTCAGGAAGGCATTTAAAATGTATAATTGGTCAAAAATCACCAGGAGATCATTATGCAGCTTATTCTGCTTTCTAGACAGCAGTCATTAAAAACTTGGCAGCTTCAGAAGCCAAAGGGCAGTGAGACCTATTGCTGGGAGACTGGAAAGCTATGCTCATAGCCAGGAAAGACAAGCCTACATTTTTGAAGTATTTACAAATCCTGCAGCTTGTAACTCACAGGAATCCAGGTTTTAATTCAAGAATTCTCTAAGTGTCTGGGTCAGTAGTGGGTATGTGCAGAAGCTGGAGATCTGGTGTAAAGATTCTGTGGAAGGTAGGCAGGAAATCCCTCTCTTAAGGAAAGGCAAAGTGTTGCTGAAGTCTCAGTCTCTCAGTTGTCTTGTCCTTTCATTCCCTTGTCCTTAAATGGAGTCTGAAGGATGGATGACTTTCTGCTGACTTGTCTTGGCTCTTTTATTTGAGTTAATCAGAAACACTACACTAAGATTCTTGAAGTATTTTTAATGATACTTTTTACCAAATAAATGAAGCTACTGTGTATAAAAGGACATTTTTATTGTGGCTCAATAACTGAGTAGTAAAGCAGGAAATATCAGGAAAAAATATTGCTGTTCAAAAGGAGAGAGATTACCAAAGGAACTGTTCTGAGGCCAGTCTTCTTGGTCACTGATTGGTCAAATGATGGGTCAAAAAACCCCTTTACTGATAAAACTTTTTTACTGATTCAAGAGATGAACACTGAGAGGGGATCTGTCACTGTCATGTAGCCAAAAAGCAAAATAGCTCTTTGATTGCTGTTGC